GACAGGGAGGTAATTTATTACAGATCACTGTAGGATGGAGTTATATACCAGTGACAATATTCTATTGTCAAGTCCTTTGAAGAAGGTTGAGTTGAGTTCTTTGGGTTTATGTCATTGTCACTTAGACCTGCACTTGTTTTATTTACAACTTGGGGGCAGCGGAAACAAGCTGTGAACACAACATTGACATATTATCATCTGAAGCTTCCACCCCACTGAAGAGACAAATGATTATATAAAACCAACATAAATGCCATATTTCCATCATGTTTTTGATTGTTTGATGTTTGACCGGCACCCTTTTCTTCTGTAGTGCAACTGGCCATTAGCTGTTTATCTAGACTCCTAACAATCATAAAGTCGTAGTGAATGGAAATGTGGATATATTTGCATTTTCTGGAATCTCGTTTTAAATTTGAATGGAAACCGCAGCAGATTTTTCAACCTGCGCTCTAGTGTGGCGTTTCATTATAGTTATAAATAGTTTTGCCTTCAGACATGGTCAGACAACACGGAAAATACAAACTAGTTTGTTTTGAATATTCTGACACCTTTAGCCAGCTGCTACCTGACTTTGACTGTTGATCCCCACCTCCCCATCTCTTTTACTAAGAAGGATTTTAATCATGCAGTCTATGGAAGGGACCTTAGGAGGAATTACTACAAAGACAAATAATTACCTTACCCTAACCCTAACCCTAACAGACAGAAGCCAAAAAGTCCCACATTTCACCAACGAATCAGGTCTTTTTCTGGGACCCTGATTCCAACACACACCAACCCAGTTAATGACTCTGGAAAGAGTGATTGGGGAATTACCAACAACAACAGCGTTCATTATTCTGGCTAGGGACGCAACACAATCTGCCCTCCATCACTGCCAACCCGCAGCAGCAGAAACCCTGACAGATCGGCTTGTTCATCTCATGCTAACTGCCTGTCAGTGACATCGTCTCCGTTAGCTCAATAGTGTTGTGACATGCGACAAATCACATCTAATTTACATGCTAATTAGTCTTGAGGAGAAAAAACCTGCTTGTGGCGAGCTGATCTACTGCTTGTCAACCACACAAAAGTAAAAATGATTCTTTGTGCGAGCAGCTTCTTTTGAGATGAGCCCCTTTTAGGCAAATTAGAAAGTACTACATTACTAACATTCAGTATTTAGGAGAACAAATACTACGTTTACAATTTTGCCTCTAAGTTGTGCCATCACATAAAAAATTAAACCACTCCCATAGAAACAGAATGGAGCACAACATGCAAATTATGTTGTAACTAAAACTAATTACTAGGTCTGAAACTATCGTATTTCCTCAATTTATTGTTTAGTCTTAAATTGTCAAAAAAGACTCTTACAATTGCTTAGACCCTTCAAAGGTCTTCAAAATGCTTGTTTTAACCAATTAACAATCCAAACATTTATAGTAATATATTATATACTGGTATATATAGTGAATAAAAATATGTGTGACTCTTCTCCAATATAACTTGCATTGTTCCCCAAAAGTTTTCACCTATCTTGCCTTCATCAGCATTGTGTCTAATGTTTCTGGTTTCTTCAGAAGTTAGTTTTAATTAGTCATGTGACTTATAAATACAAGGTTTTCAAAACAGAACTACAATCATTTCTCAAAATTGTATTTACAAAATAAATCCATCCTCCATCCACCCATACCATAGGTGTTAAACACATGGGACTCCAAACTTTTAAAAACTCTGGCTTCATTCCTGTTCTGGGATGATGTTTTGGCTTCAGATGCTTAATGGCTGCAAAAACACATGTATGAGCATGTGCATGTACTCACTATAAGGGGCTGATAGCTAGCAGATGTCTAACAGTTGTTAAAGTAACAGCGTTTGCAT